TGTAGTATTTTACTTTAAAATAAGTTTTTAGTTAATCCAGGTTAATTCTCAGAGTACAATTTGCTTATTTCCTGGAACAAAACCAAAATAAATCAGTAGATATCTTTACAGTTGATAGCATGATCATTAGCAACGCTCCTGCTCCTCACAGAATGTCTTTAAGCATCTTAACAATGTTTAATTTCAGTTTGTCTAATCTGAGCATATTTAAAAACAGAAGTTAATCTTTCTTTTGAAAGCCAGTCATAATAGATTTAAAAACACATAACTGCTTTAATAAAAATGTAGTTTCAGAAGAGAAGATTGGCAAATGATGAAGTACTCACTTTATTATTACTAGGTAAAGAAGCTGAAATGTCTGATGCAACTTAGATAAAGACATTTCAAAGTTTCTGTGGGCCAGTGCCAATATATGTAATTTATCAACACTACCTACAGTTTGCAGTGATCTAACAACGTATTATTTTACATTTCATTCTTTTATTGGAAATTTCCTTTTGGAGGAAGTGAAGAATACATATGCAAACCTTCATTCTTGATTAAAATTGGTGGTGTCAAATTCTGTTCTCCAGATGGTACACAGTCCACCAGAAAGGAACAGAAGGGATCTATCCAATACTGGGTACCTACTGCATGCTTCCACTGTTCTGTTACTTGTTTTATTTAATCCACCTTAAAATCCAACACAATTTCTGGCTGCTTTGTTTAGAAACTAACTACAGAAGCTAATATTCTTACACTAAAAATATCTCTTGAGTTAAATGTCACTTTATTGTTATAACAAAGATTAATATCTAGCCTAACCATGAGTTAGAAATGTCCAACTAGGAGTAAAGAATAATTGGCTCAAGATCTTCCAATTCAGATATTGGTAAGATTTTTTCGAAAGTTAAAAACTAAAATGTAACCTTTGGGAGGTTTTTGGAAAACATATTTGTAGAGTTTTTTGCTCAAAGTATTATTTGAATTTTAAAGTTTTACAAAACATCATACACAGAGGCCTGAGAAATGTCTTTGGTTTAGGGCTGCCTGAGGCCCTCACACATTTTTGCCATGTTCAGATAGGAATAGCTAACGATTTTATGATTAGCAGTAAGTCAAAAAAGCTAACCAATTAGGTAGGATCACCTCTTTAAAAAAATCACACAGGAACATTTGCTTGAGAAGTTCCAGACATTTTGATCTTATAGAAGTGACTAGACAAAACATTGGAGTAATAAAAAGAATAGAATGTTAAAATGATATTTGAATACATATGAATTCCCAAAAGGATACATAAGAATTCTTTCAGCTGTGTCACAATTAGGCATACGGGTATTTTGGGGGGCTGAATTTACAATTGTATTGCTAGGTATCTGATTAGGTTTTAGAAAAACCTATTAAACTGAAGTAAAACTCTATTGGGGGTCACATTTTTAGTTGTGACATTTATTAAAAGACATTTATTAAAAAATTCGCAAGACATTGATAATGAAGGAAGGGATTTTAAATGGCACACATGGCTTTTCTTCTGAGGAGCTACTGCTCAGAATTGATGCATATTAGTTAAAAATATACGTAATTCAGGGACATCTGATTTTATAAATAAATTCAGGATAAAAATTAACCTCTACATTGCCTCTATATAAACAACCTAAGAAGAATATCACCCCATGGGTTATCTATGAAAATGTTAATCTTATTTTCAACAAAAATACTAACAAGCATAACAATATACAATTGAACAGATTATAGTCTCTTGAGGGGAAAACACTAAAAAATAGTCACAATTCTGGGCTTTTTTCTGGCATTATGTCAGAGAATAAATAAATAAAAGAAAAGATGTCAATTTGCTTTGTAGACTCTGCATATGTTTTGACACAACAAAAATTAGACACATTAGAAGAGTGAGAACTTGAATTGACAGAAAGTCTATTATCAAAAAAAATCAATCAATTTTAGCATGCAAGTGATTTTAAGAAGATAGTTGAAAAATTGTCTTGAACAAAGTGATAGATGGGGGCTCATAATGAAGGTTACGCCATGATTCATGTAAAAATATCTGTTTGATTTTTATCTTCCCAAGGAAATTTGCCATTTGCAATTTCTTTGCAGATGTTTCTAGAATCTACCACCCTCCTGAATTACTTATGGGGTGTAAAATAGTTTGCCTTATTCCACACAGCATTATGACTCACAAATAACATTAGCTATATGCAGCCAATCTGATACATGACTGGAATATTTAAATATTTAGAATACACAGCATTGAAAAAATTTAAATTCATCATTGTCAAGCCTAACAGATGAAAAGTAGATTTTCTATGATTTCTTCAAAGTAAGAACCTGAAAACTTCATGACGGCAATGTAATATAAAAATTTAGTTTCTTTAAAAAAAGGTCAGCTCTTCAACAAGAATTTTTAGATTTATCTTGCAAATATTAAAATATTGAGAATACGTACCAGATAGCCTCTGAAATTGGGGATCAAACTTATATGCTCTATTGGCTCAAACTGATAACTGGAATTCTTTTTGGAATGAATGATTCATTTATTCACTCAACAAATCTTTATGGAGTGCCCACCATGCATCAGGTTAGTTAGATGCTGAACAACAAGTTGAAAAAGTCAGGACAGGCATGGTCTCAGCCTCTTCAAACAAACAGCCTAACATAAAAACACAACTTCCAATACAGTGGGAAAATGCTATGTGACAAAATTACAGAGGATGTAGTAGTATACAGGAGAGAGATTTTAAGTCAGAAGTGGGCAGAATGGATTTGGCAGCAAAACCTTCCCGGAGAAAGGTACAGCTGAACTGAAACTGAAGGATTTAAATACAACAGAAGGCAGATAATGCTGGGGGTAGAGTCTCTTTCCATTCATTTCGTGTAGCAAGAGGACATTTATAAAGGATGAGAAGACGGTACTTGGTTTAAGTACAAGCAAATTTAGAAGAGTACGGTAAGAAACAAACTGGGGCCAAATCACGCAAAAACTCTTAGGCTATATTAAGGAACTTGCACTTTATTCTGAAACAGGGAATCATGAAGAGTTTTAAACAACTGAGTAAGAGAATCATATTTGCCTTTGAGGATAAAACACACAGGAGTTACAACTTAAGAAATGAATTTTTAGAGAGTGAAACCAGAAATGAAAAAGCTGGTTAAGAGGCTTCTGTGAAAGCCATATGAAAGAGGGTGGCGGCACAGATGATGGAAGTAGCAGTGGAGATGGTAAGAAGGGACATGATCTTAAGATATTTGAGTCATTTTGTCATAGCTGAAATTACCAATACTTGCTAAATCAGTTAATGTGAGTGCATGGAGTTGGTAAAACAGGTGTTAGGAGGAAGATAATGGGAAGAAAAGGGTGACCTGGAAAGGACATTGGGAAACATCTGCTACAAGGATGGAGGATAATGGAATATAGTGTAAGCTAAGTCAGATAAAAGGAATATTTTAAGGAAGAGGTAATGCCTTAAGAGCTTAAACAGTGTGTTGCTCACTGATGTATCATCACAACTTATCATGTTATGTGATGCTTTCTGGGTTTCTCAGGTTCATCACAAATAAACATCACAAATAAATTTAATTTAAGAAGCACTCCTACTTATAAGGTTGGGTGCTGGGATGATATATCAGAAAACATACTCCTTACCTTCAAAGAGTTCATAGAACAGTAATAGGAGAGAGATTTACACGATTACCCATAATGTGTGCTAGCCAATGAGAACTGAATAAAGCTCTGCATCAATAAAGAATGTTAAGGGAAAGTAGGAGAAAAGTGAATATTTCTACTTGTGAGTATAAGAGAAAGAAAGGTCAACTGAAAAAAAAACTGAAAAGAGAGGCCGGATGTGGTAGCTCATGACTGTAATCCCAACACTTTGGAAGGCTGACGCAGGAGGACTGGTGGAGGCTGGGAGTACAACATCACCCTGAGCAACACAGTGAGACACCTGTCTCCACAAAAGAAAAACAAATTAGCTGGGTATGGTGATGTGCAGCTTAGTCCTAGCTATTTGGTAGGCTGAGGCAGGAGGACCACTGGAGCCCAGGAGTTTAGGGCAGCAGTGAGCTACGATTGCACTACTGCTCTCCAGCCTGGGCAACAGAGTGAGCCCTGTCTCAAAAAGAAGAGAGAAGCAGAGAGGAGAGACTATTGCAAATTTCAGGTAACTTGATAAGAAGAGTTACAGATTTGGCAAATCCTGTTTGATAGGGGTGCAATTAGCTGTTTTAAATTGTTTTCATAGTTTCTGGAAATGCAATGAACTACTAGAGTTTGTAAACTCATGAATACAGCATAAAAATCAACAAGAAAGAACTTGTATCTTTCACTATAAAGTGATCTCATTACGGAATTAAGTTGTTTTACTTTTCTTTGCTACAGAAGCCATTAACAAACCTGTGCATATTTAAACGTGCTCCACAAATAACTGAATTTCATGAAGATTGTTTTAAAAAGCACTGACTGTAACCTCACATCATTTGCAAATGATAAATAAATTCTGTAGTATCTATGGTTTCCTTCTATAAGCAAGATCCGTTTTGAGAATGTAATCAAACATCTTCATTGATTAGCAACCACAGGTAAGGAGCTAACATGTCATGAGTCATGATTCTATGTGTACAGTATGCAGGTCAGTGGCATGATTTCAATACCCTTTGGATTCCTGCTGTCATGCTTTCAAAGCCAATATTAACACAAAACATTAGAATGGGTGAGAGTTAAGATGCAAATGCTCTCCTAATCAATCAATTGACATACACATAGTGTGATCTGGTACAATCTCCTGCATCAAGCTGACAGTAGCATCTGTAAATCAACACCAGCGTAAAAATAGCCCACAGACATGCCTTCGTAAGAAATTTGTGTTTCACCAATTTAGTTAAGCCAAAGATGAAGGCACATTTAAATTAGCATTAAGGTAATGACTCTGACATTCACTTAATCAACAGTAAACCTTCGAAGAAAGAAAAGTGGTGGATAATGAAACAGTTCTGGAAAATTTTACCTGTAACCATTGTGACTGGTCATTGTGGCCAGAAGTCCAGGCATTCACTTTGCCTTGCTTGTCCAGCCGAGCTTTCCTTGGTTCCCAAGTGAACATGTCCATGTTGAGCGTTCTGAAGATGCTGGAGGCAGTGATCTGATAGTCTTGTATATGTCCTGATTTCATACCCAGAGGCTCAGAACAACCTTAGAGAAAATGAGACAGGCTCCATGAGAAAAACACTTTATTACCCTGGAACTTTTCTGTGTTCATTTTGGATAGGAAAGAGAAGACTAAACATAATGCTATTCATTCCTCCAAAGAGAAAGCATCTAAATTCAAAAAAAAGCTATAATCAGAAATAAATCTGAAACAAAATCGAAAAGCAAGATAGTCAATTCAAGCTATTTTGTCAGAATATATTTTGGAAAAATTGAAAACAAGACAGACAATTTAAACTACTTTTCTGTGACAGATGACTCTGCACAATGAAAACAATCTTGAAATGCTCTATCCTGCCTCATTACGAGAGGGTTCCCGACTGCTCCCTAGTTTTCAAGTTCCATTGTGTCTTTAAAAATGGGATATTTTATCACAAAGTATATTTGTTTTTCTTTATCTGTTTTCATATTACTGCAAATGAAAATTCCCTCAGTACAAAGTCGTTTTCACAAACTGCTCCACTGTTATATTTTAAACTGAATAGCATTTTGTTTTTCAAGAAATATGTTAATCTTTATCACTGATCCTTATAACACCAAAATGGCTTCTTCTGTAAGACAGGAATCTAATATTTACTGAGTGTATACCATGGGCTGGGCATTGTGGAAGTGTAATTTAAACTAATAGATAACAGAAAATAATAAGACGATTCTACCAAAATTGGACTACTCCTGGACAAAACTTTGATAAATTATTTTATTTCAATCATATTCAATAACCTATATAGTTTAGGTGTTTTTGTTAGATTCTCAAATCTACCACATATAGTTTTTAGTTTAATGTGGTAAAAATTTTGGCTTGCCTGTTCTTGAAAAATTATATGCATGAACATATGTTTGTGTGTGTATATATATACACACAATTTCCCAATCTTGAATTGCAACTGTGACAAATGCTCTTCACAAATTTTGTAATAAAGAGCATGATTCTATCACGAAACAAGCCAGGGGCTGAGTCTGTTAAATTTTGGTCAAGTAACTCACAAGGTGAGTTTGATTATCAAGGAAGCGAAGACGAAAAGAGGACACTTCTGCAACCCAGTACTTTCTCCTCACACTCTACGGTCCCATTTTCCAGCTGTGTGGTCTTACCCTGTTATTTAATTACTTTCTGCCTCAATTTACTCATCTTTAAGATGGTGATAAGAATAGAAACTACCTCAAAGAAGTGTTCTAAGAACTTAGTTAATAAACATAAAGTACTTAGAAACACTGCTGGCACACAGCATTCAGTCAATGTTAGCTATTTGTATGATTTCTGTAAAACTCATCTCGACAGATGGCAATGGTAAGTTCCGGAATATCAGCATATCAACAAGTACTACATAATATTTAATAATTGGGTACAGTTTCTAAAACTAGACCCTTTTGACAGTCTAAACTACAAAAGAGGTGCTTTAGAACTCTTCATTGATCAGTAAGTCTTAGCTAAAACTAATTGCTTTCTGTCCTGGTCAATCTAGATTACTTCCTCCTTCTTGAAGCTCCTCATATTTCCCTTCACCTCCACCATCTAGGAAATGTATATCCTATGAAAACATGGAAAACATGGCATGGAGGGCTGTGTGTCTTAACACGAGTGCATTTTGGTGTAGGAGATACGTATCTGAAGCCTCCTGATTAAGAGAGCTGTAATGCCTACATGTATATTCTGGGTGAAAAAAAAGTCATAACAATTCTCTAAGATTATAGAAAGTTAGGCCATCCTTAATGGCATGCTGTTTATCTTCAGGAAGTTAGTTCCATGGTAACATGCATTATCTGCATTGAAAACTGACTTGTTCTTTTATCCCCATCTTTGCCTCTGCCTGCATCCCACTCCCCATCTTTGAAAACTTTGCTTAGTTTGCAGGAGATACAGGGAAGAGGAAAGGTAGTTGTTTCCCTTATTTTGTGATATAATATAGTATAGAAGTAATTAATGGAAAAGGAATGCCTTAACTTTGACCATTTCTGTTTAGCCCTAAAATTCACTTCCTAGCCATTCTGTTGTCTAGTATTTAGCTCAGAAGTGCCAAATATTTATTTGTTCATAATGAACATTCCTCCTCTAATTACGGTCATAATCTGTTTCATTCCAAACATTTTAAGTCATACCTCTTTCAGATAGTTTAGGAGATGATCTTTAGAAGTGTCTGGGAAGAGATTACCTGCTGATCTTCTAGGCAGGGTGAAAGATTTTAACAACAATTTACTGAATACAATAAGGCTTTACAGTGTTCCACTAGAGAGTGGAAAACAGTTTGGTACATTACATTAGTGTTTATTTCCAAGTGTTACAGCTAACCTCTCTGCCAGTGTGCCTCATGCCACAAATTTTACTTCTTATCCATATAATTTCATGCATATAAATTAATTAACTCTTTTTACCAGTGTGGCCAGCACTTGAACAAAATGAAGTGTTAACAATTAAATTGGTATTTCTATAGTGAAGTGCTCTGGTTTTTAGAAGCATCTACTCTCTGCATGCAAGTTCAAAATCAATTTGCTGTGCTGGGAGATGCAGCACTGCTTCCTTTTGAGAAAATAAAACCTGTAAAGTGTCAGGTGTAACCTCTTGTCAAACTTGGAAGTAAAATATATTCACATCTTAGGGGCGTAACCATGCCATATATGAAAGACTGACCCTCATGAATCAAAAGACTAAAAAATTGTGGAAGGTGATGTTAAGCAACTAAAAACCATGTGGCTTGCAGCAGACCTCATCATATTGTGGCTTCCTCTTGATTGCTTTATGATAAATGGCTTAGGGATGACACCGGTCTGTAATGATATAGTGACACGGAATACAAACACTGTACAGCAATAAGTCTGCTAAGATTTACTGGATCTTAACAGCTGGAGTAAATAAACTGAATTAAATTACCAAAATAAGGAAAAGACCTCTGTTAGGATAATTAATGGTACTAAAGCACATGTTGGTTGCTTTAAAAAATACACCAACATAGAATATGAAAATATGATCCTTAAAATAGGTTCACTTGCCTGTCCAGATTACTCTAATTCTTAAAATGTAATGGGCTTATTTTATTTACTTGAAAATCACTCCTTTTCAAGGCAACACAAATACATGCAGGAAGAGAAACGGATATAAAGCATGCACATTAACCTATAGGTAACCTCTTGAAATGAATAAAAAGCTCACAGTTGTCTCTTTGTAGGGACTTTTTCTCCTATTTTTAATTAAGTGTATTGTTTTAGGTTTGGTAAAGGTTTTTCCTCACTTCAGGATTACATTAAAAAGTGGAGCACACATGCACTTCTAGTTTTCTTCACAGTTGTTTGAACAAAATAATTTCAGGCCATTACGGCAAAGACAGTTTGTAAATTGTGATGCCAGAAATATGAGAACAACTACCAAAAATCTAACAAGTGAAATGCCTAGAAAAAATTTTCTATTTCATTCAGAATCTAGCTATATCGAAATGGGGCCACTGTAACATCCACACATTAAGTCTTCACCTTTATATCTAATATTGATGTTCCTGGGGGACTCTGAGTCCTTTGATGGATTATCCTTGAGCTGGATAACCACTATTTGTACAATAAGCAGGTTGCTAGCTAAGAATGATCCAAGAATGAATTTATACTAGCAATCTTGGTATTGAAATATTGTCCCCTTGGGAGGAATGACAAATTTACATGTTTCATAAAACCTAAAAAAAAAAGTTCTTATAGTAAGCAGACAAAGATAAAGTTCTTATGGTAGATGGACAAAGGTAAAGCTTACTTTTCTGTGTCATGTAGCCTACTCTTTACTGCAGTGTATGAGGTCAGCCAGATTCCAGTTTTTACTGAAATTTTGTTACAAAACACAAATCATAGTTATTATGCCAAACAATGAGACACATCTAAAAGTAACAAGTTTCCCCTGAGAATTCCTTGTGCTTTCTTTGATCACTCAACAAAACACATTACTCTTTCTATATTAATTCTACCCTGTAGCATGTTTTAGAACTTGCTTATTCTACACATAAACACACACTGGTTCTCCCCGAATCATGTTGTAGACATTTTGCAGCAGAAATAAATTTCTATGGTTGTTGAATTTGCAGGTTAGTAACAGGCTACATACAAATATGCCTTTTTGTTTTCTTTAAATAGAATACAGAAAGAGTTAATATGAAACTTACCAGACAGTTCACAGCCAAGAAGTTCCATTCGCAAAGTGCAATGTCTTCGACAAACTTGAGGATAGAGTCTTACATACTGAGCTTTTATGGGCGGTGTAAAAGAGTTAGCATAAGGAGTGTTGTTATCAACGTTTCCACGAAACACCTATATAAAAACATAATACAAAGTTTAAAATTATTCATTGCAACAGCTTCTTTACCTATATTTACATATTGACCTTATCTGTACCTTACCGAGAATAATCCTTCAAAGATCAGATTACGTAATTTGGGAGTATGGAGCATTTGAGAAGTACCTTCCCATGAGGAATGAATATAAAACCCATACATAAAATTCTAATTAAAACTGTAAACCACTGTGGCCCATGATATGATCTATATTCTACAATGATGATCTTGTCAATTTTAAGGCCAATCTTTCAGAACAAGGGAAGTGCTGTTCTTTTTTGAGAAATGGACATCTTAAATCCTTCAATTTAATCTGGGACTGTCTGTTCATTTTACCGCTTAGTATTCATACTGTTTGAGGCAGAATCTAGTCTTCGCTACTGCTTCCTGATCATCTAGTCTCTCTAATGCTACGATTAGATTTATGATGCTGTAAGGTTTGACTCATCAAGATTATATCTTTATAAACTAGTCCCAAATAATTGGATAATAGACTTAGAATTCCTTATTAAAATTTCCTTATTAAAAACTATGTTTGCCTCTAAAAATCAAGTAATAAAATGCGTCATTGTAAATTCATGAAGACTTATTCTTATTTTATATTTTATGTAAACCAAAAACCTTATTTAAATTCATTTAAGAGGGTAATTTTAAAAATATTTTATATAATTTATTAGAGTCTAGTATAATGTTTGATTTTAAATGGCATGATCTGCAGTCCTGACGTTTTTAAAATTAAATTTTTTTGAGGAAGAACTAACAAAAGAATTGGGAATATCATAGGAATAGAAAAGGAGATACTGAATATTCTAGCCAATATCTCTAAGCTATTTTATTTTGTTAAGTAACAAATCTTTTTCCAATATGAAGCATATGAAGGTATATATCTTTTCTATCATTTAGTGCTTTTCTTGCTTTTAAGATAATAGTTTTGATTAATATAATAGTTATTTCATTAAGAAGTGTGTTAATCACAAAAGCAATAAAAATGAAATAAAAATCCATCGTTAAAATAAAGCTTAATTGTCATACAAAAGACTATGTCCATCTGTGTCAAAGTATTTGTAGTACCACCAATTAAAACCTGTGAAAATCTTAAATGTCAGCCACTTTAAATTTAGAAATTGGAGAAATGTCTACTCCCTTCACCGCACTAGCCCAATTAAAAACAAGAAGCAATGGTAGTTTAGTTTAATCAACATAAGTCTTCTCCTGAAAACCTTGTCATTGATAATCAATGATTATCAATGACATTTTACTTTTAAATTAAGTAGGTTAAATCACTCTTACCATGTCTTCATTGGTGCCTTTGACTTTGTACATTGCCCAAGTCTTTCCATCATTACTGTAGGCAATTTTGTAGGATTTTATATACTCTGGGCTTCCAATCCTCTTGGCTCCTTGGGTAATCACACCAGTAACTCTCATTTTCCTTTGCAAATTTATCTGAAAAGACAAGCGTAATCAATAATCTTATTGCTTTCAGAATAAGAAAACTGAAAATATGAATTTTAGGAATGGAACATTATTAATGCAGGTTAATAATATAAAAAGCTAATAATTTTCATGTAGTTTTTACTGATAAATATTTAAAATAGGCATATATTAAGTTTAGCTTCAAAATCTCTTTCTATAATGAAATACTATTTTTAAGTAAACAAATATTTGTGAACGGGCTATGAAAAGGGCAATTTGCCTCAGAAATATAAGTATAGAAAGCATTTGGTTTCTCATGATATGCAGATATAACTTGATAGACTGAAAAACGGGAATATTCTTTTGTCAAAGTAATCTCAGTGTCATTATTATCAACTTCTATTGTCAACATAACTGTTAATGTGTATAAACTGATTTAAGCTTCTAGAAATTTTCATTTACAATAAAACATGACAAATTCACTGAGGTCTCTGAATACCAGCATTTTAAAAAGTAAAGACAACAATGATGTCAAAATCAAAAACAAACAAATATCTCTTCAGTTTCTGTACCTTTACTCTGCAGTTTGTGGCAATTTTTTTTTTTAAATTAAATAATTCCTTTCCCTTTTTCTTCATTTTATTATATGTAAAAACTGGGATTTTTCTCTCTCATATTTTCTCCCCATTCCAAACCACTTTACAACAGTTTGCTTCAGGAGTAACACACAACAACAACAAATAATATTGTTAATATTCTTGTCATATTTAATAGAGATATCTTTTTGACGCTTAACATTTAATAACACTTAAATGCTACAAAGTAGAAAAGTGCCTTATTCATATATGGTAAACATTAAAATGTGTTCTATTCACTTTAAAATGCCTTTATTATGTCTAGAAAACCTTTTATATGTTCTTGATAAATTGCTATAAATCGCCAAAAATACAAATTGGAAAAATTTAAATATGTCATATCATGATATTAATGACTCCAAAATCATTTTCCAAAGAAAACCAGAAAATCTTCAGATTCATTCAAGTGATTAGAGTTTTCCTAGGATGAGTCTTTGAGAGTTAGCATTTAGGTACTCTATCACCATTGTTTCTGAGTCTCGTAAAGTCTCATTTTCCATGTTGAAACCTCATAAAGTCCCTCCCTCAACTATTGCCTACAAGGTGATTCTCAGGCTTACTCATATATAAAGAAAATCTGGTTTTGATTAGCAAAATTTTTGTGTTAAAATGCTGGCCCTATGGTCGCTTTTTTCCTTGAACAATGCTAAGTGGATGGACTCAGATATCCAAGCTTGGTTTTCCCATTTCAGTGTTCAGACATCACACAACCATTACAACCACGAATATATTTTAACTCCCATTCCTCTTTGGAGGGTCAAAAAGACAATGTCTGTCATAAATGTAAATTTTACTTGCTACTCTTAATATTTATCTACATTTATCTACATTAGTCCTTTAAAGATTGATTTTGAAGTTTTAACTGTGCAACTTGAAATAGGGAATGTCTGAACAACAGTTTATTTCAGTATGCTAGGTAAATTATCACGTTGCTATGGGTCACATTCTTTCAGTATTTTATGCATGATGTTTTCTTTTTCTTTTTTTTTTTTTTTATTTTGAATTTTTGTAGTTTAAACATTCCCAATGCATACAACATACACAGTGGAAACTTTGAATCATGTTTTTTCCCATTTTGGAAGCCAAGTTTCACATTTGATGTTGTTGAACATTCCTTTTTCAATTATCTTTTATCTCATTTCAGTTATCTTGTTTACACCTCTTGTAGGCGGCCAAATTACCTTTGCTAGAGTTTTGGCCCATGAGCTATAGGCACTAATTTTCTAAAGCTTTAATTGTAGATGCATAGCAGTATCAAAAAATAAAAATCTGAGTTTGTATTCTCTAAATCATTATAAATCATGTAAAAATTCTACTTCCTTTAATATTTAGAAGCTCTGCATATATATTTTAGGAAGATGGAATTGAAGTTAGTTATGCATCACCCAATTTGAATTGTGTCTAGTTTAACTTTTAGTAGATATTTGTAATTAAATTTTGGCACTGTTTCCATTAAACACAAAACTAAAATAAAAAAAAATATATAAGAACACAGGCTCAAGATCACCAAGTTTTAGTACTTACAGGTTTTAAAGTTTTGACTTTACATGTATCTAGGACTATTAAGCTTGGAAAATAAGATATTCAGTATAAAGAAGCCAAGCTGTCACCATCATAGTCATACTCAAATTTAGTACCAGTAAACTATGTTGCCATAGAAAATAAACTAAATAAGCCTTGGAGAAAATATATAGTATGATTTTGGAAACACCTCCACTTACGAACATCTGCAAGTAATTCCTTTCCATCCCATTCCAACATTATTTTGTGACCTCTTTGTAAAATAACAATGACTAAAATGTGATCTGAGTTTTATTCTCTCTGTATGAACTATCCCACATACTATGTAAAAGGTCTATTGAGGATTGCATCAGAAATTTCTAAACTATTCTCTATGAGCTTGATGGATACTTGAAAAGGGAATAAAATATTTTTATTTGTGTTATCTGATTTGAGAGAAATTGTTGTTCCACTGGGTGGTAGGTACATTGCATATCCTTAAAAAGCAAAAGTGCATTGTAAGATATTTTGAGCAATTGTTGTCCTCCTACATTAATACAAATAGGAAGAATGATAATCTGAATTTAGAATGCTTAGAACATATGCTAAGGGTATGCAGAAGGGAAGAACAGACTGATGGGGGCTTCAGTCCTGGTTCTGTTACTTCCAACCTACGTAATTTTGAACAATTTTTCTAAGCTTTTTGAAATTTAATTTCCTCTCTTGTAAAGGGGGTTTTAATAAAATATGCGAAGACTATATGATATGTAAGTGTAAATATTAACATCTGCCACCTACAAAGCTCTTAGAACAACTGTATTTTTTTAAGTTTTGTTTTTCTAAATGGAAAGAAACACTTCCTTTACATCTTCTGCCTTTAACCACTCAATGCCAGAAAAATCTGGATTTTGAGATGTGTATTTATAAAAGCTGATAATCTAATGATATGGGAAGGTGACAGGGACATGCTGGGAGGAGAAGGGTGGGGACCCTGGCGACGGCTCCATCCTCAAGCCTGTGCCCACGGATCTAGGTGAGGACAAGCACTCGTGTTTTCATGCCCAAATGTTGCATTTTCCAAAGGCACCTGGTCCACTATGCCCACATCCTGTGCCTATAAAAGCCCCAGTACCCTAGTGGGCACATACAGGTAACAGGGCATTGAGAGGAACACACCTGCAGAAGAGCACACAGCTGGCTGGTGGGCGTGGAGAGGAGCAGAGGAGCAGAAGAGCACACTGACAGGCACCGCCAGATGCTGGCAGTCCATTGACTGGCAGAACGATGTGGACACCAAGGGGAATTTGGTCAGGGCAGTTGGAGGAGAGTTTTGCCGCTAAGCAGCCCAACTCCAGGGGAAAACCACCCTCCCACTCCATATCCCTTCTGGCTCCCCATCTACCTCACTGAGAGTACTTCTAGCACGCATTAAAACCTTGCACTGATTCTCCAAGACCACGTGTGATCTGATTTTTCCAGTACACCAAGGCAGGAACCGCAGGATAGAGAAAGCCCTCTGTTCTTGTCATAAGGCAAAGGGTCTAATTTAGCTGATTAACACAAGCTGCCTACAGATGACAGAACTAAAAGAGCACACAGTAACACGCCCAGTGGGGCTTCAGGAGCTGTAAACATTCACCTCTAGAAGTTGCTCTGGGGTCAGAGCCCACGCTCCCCCACCAGCTGCCCATCTGTCTCCTCCCACTAGGGGGTTTGCACAGTGAGGAATTGAAGAAGAGAGCCACACCCCTGTGAGGGGAACAAGCAAACTTTTCCTGTTTCAATAACAACCATATGAAGATAATTTTGCAAACAACTTCCAAAGCTATATTAGGGCTACTATGGTTAAGTGTGTGTGTGTTTAAATCTAATCATGAGCTTTATCAATGGGGGCAGAATTAATGGGTTCTTGACAAGATAGCAACTAGCACGGGCTACTGGCCCTCTCTCCTGAATCCAGCACTTAAGATGCCCTGAGACAGAACATCGCTGAGCAGGCTTTGAAATTTATCAAACTCTAAAACAAAAACTATGGTAAAGCCTTAGTGTAAGTGGAAATTTGAGATCCCAGTGTATGTTTGTGTGTCTGGGCTTTATGGAGGGGAATTCAAAGGGCTCATAAACATTGTCAGGCTTGGGAAGAACTTTCTAGATGTTTTATTTCTTTTTCTCATTCCTATTTTGCTTGTTGAGCTCTTCCTAATCTACCCAGTTTCTGCCCACTACCAGTGAGAAGCAGTGGAAAAATGTGGGCCTGGCTTAGAGGCGAGTCTGTAGACACTAGCAGGCCTGAGTGTTGTACCCTCTGCCCTCCACATCCCAGTTTACGGACTAAGGAGATAAAACAGAGTGATGAGGTCCTGGTAAGAGCAGTGTCTCAGGCAGATGAAGTCTTTTTCAGGAAAGGGGGCTGCAGAGTCCGAACAGATTATAACTCTGTTATGAGGTATCCTCTCTATACCAACTCAATCCACCTGTAGTAGCTCAAGCTGGGCCATAGATTTCACCCTTCCTTCTAGGTATATCACTAGCCAAGCAATTAATAACAAATTCTCTATGGAATGTAAACACAATGATCAAAAGGAAAAAAAAAATAACAGAACTAACACTAGAATAAAGAGTAATCTAATAAAGAACAGATTCAGGTTTTAAAATTCCAAAGAAATCCCTGAAAAGACAAAGGCTTTCTGAGACATAAGACAGGAACAAGTATATAAATAAGAACCAGTAGGAAATATTGGATAATTGGATATAAAAATATAATTGTCTAAATAAAATTCCCAGTGGAGTGGTTTCAATAACAAAGAAGCAAAGAGATATAGCTGAAGAATAAACTAGTAAGCAGCAAGACAGGGTTATAAAACACTTTCCAGAAGGGAAGAGGATGAGTTGCCA